ATTAACTCAACAGCAATCCCTTACACCAATCATGCTTGTAGCGACTGTGGAGAAGAAAACTCCCTTCTTAACCTTAAAATTTGGGTGAAAATTTTCTGATTGTATATATTTATAAATTACAAATTTTAAGCTAAGAGAAGGCTTTCATTATTAATGTGATGTTTTTAGACTTTTGAAAGTTCTACAAAGCTAGTCTGAAAAAAGATACCTGAATTTTATCTGTTTAAGGTCAGTTTGGACCTACTGTTGATGTTTGTTAAATGCCAGGAAAGGGAGAGGGATTGTTTTCATTTTTATTATTTTTTCTAATTCGCTTGGTATTTATTGGAATTATCTTTTTATTTTTTTTATTTTTTTGGACAAGGTTAAAACATTTAGTTTTTTAGTTGTTGCTCAAGTATTTCCATATAGCATTTCTTGCTTATTATGTCATCTATATTGTTAAGCTCACTGTTCCTTCTTGCAGTAGGCAACATGATGCTGCCAACTATAAGCCCATTTGTTGTTTTCCTTGCAGGATCCCCTTTTTTTTTCTTTCAAATATAATGCTGGTCATTAAGAACAAACTAGTTATTATCTTATTTTTGGTGAAAATCTTTCTTACCTAATGTGTTCTTTCAGTACTTGCAAGTAAATGCCTTGTTTCATTCTGGGTGAAGCTGTTAGCCGTAATAGCTGTAGCCAGCATCTTCAATAGGTCTTTGCCTTTGCTCTACGGTTGACTTGGACATTTTACACTTAAACGGATCCATCTCTTTATTTCCACAACATATCATACAAGGATGCAGAGGAAAACAGCATTATTATGTCTCTAAATTACTGCTTATATACAGTAATGTATCAAAGTTTGCTTCAGAAAGCTAATGCTTTTGCAGCTCTGTAAAAAAAAAAAAAAATGTAGGTTTTTTTATTTGTTTATCATTAAGAAAAAAAAAAAAAACATCCCCACAAGTGAATTTGGATTTAATATAAATTTATACCCACAAAAGCTGTATAGTTACCGTTTGAGGTCATCTTGGAGGCCGTGTCGCCTGAGGACAGACTGAGCCTCTGCAGTGAGCTACTGTCCTTCATCTGTGCACGCTTGTCCTATTCAAATGGAGCAACTCGATTTGATATCCACAGACAGGAACTCAATGTGAGGCTCCTTCTGTGCGCTTATTATGTGGAAATTAAATTTCGCCCTTATGGATTGTGTTTCATGGTTCACCGAGTTATTCAGCAATAATGACTGCAAGTCGGACTGATGGGATTGTTTGGAAATATCCACCAAAGGCAATCAAAGTCGGTTTGCAGTTGTTTACATGCATATCTCCGTGTGTGATCAGGACTAACGTTTATTAAAACAGACCACGGCTTATGAACATCTTGACTAAATCTTCTTTTTCTTTTTTCTTTTTTTTTTAACACTGATGCTGAAAAGATGTCTACTGTCTTCTCTCTAATCTTAAACGATCAGAGTAAAGCCTACGCTTATTTTTGGTCTTCTAACCCTTCATTTAGAGCCGCCTGAATGCAAGCTGTCATGGCGAAAATACAGCAATTTGTTGCTCACTTGGTCAGTAAATGAAGTGATGTGATCCTTGAGTCCATTCCTGAAATCTCTAATGTGTTTATGTGGCTCACTGTGGCAGGTTTTTAGCCAAAGCCAGATTTTTTTTCCCATTTAATGAACTGTATACAGGGAGAGTAAAGTTGTTAAGCTATTCTTTGAAGGGATAAAGCTAAAAAGTCAGTGCTGATAACAGAAACATTAAAAAAAGATCTAAGGGTTTATATTTTTAATTAAGAGCATAACTGGTAAAGCTCTGTCTGTGACTTTCTAGTTTAAGAGCCCCTAATGATAAAGATACGCATGTTGACTGAGTTTTTAGAGGTCAAGCAGGATGTGTGTGTCCCACATCAGCTGGAGGAACGATAATCCATCTCCTCCTGCTGCTGCAGATGAATTGTCAAGAACTCCTAGGGCTTCCAGGTCACTGCGTTAGGTTTCTTTGTGATGCAGGACAGCAGGGAGATGAGTGAATTACATCAAGTGCTTCGTAAAGCCTTTTCTTCTCTAAAGGTGCCAGAGATGGTTTGATGTACTTCACAGCAGCTTGTTGACATGGAAACCAAGGAGGGCGCTTGTGACAAGTTTCTGCCGCCAGTGTTTTTGTAGGAATGAGGATCGACTCCTGGCTAATTTCTACAGAAATCTGTGTTTTTTGTTTCCATTACTGTAGATTTGCTGCTTATTTTCCAACATGGCAGGCAACGATCCAAGAGTGGTCTGTTGGAGAGCCTGAACTAAATGATTAAATCCCTCACCTGCTGTATGATTTCTGTATAGCACTGAGAAAGTAAATGGCTTTAAAATGCTTTAACTTCTCAGAATTCCTTTGGTTTTTAACTGAATTATTTTGAAGACTTTTTCTGATCTTTTTTTAAGAGAAAGAAAAATTAGAAACTATTTTTTTCTATTCCACCATGTTAAAATTGCCCATATGCAAACCTTAACCACATCCCCCGACCCGTCTGCAAAGTTCCTCAGTCTTCATGATGCTGTTTGTTCACTAATGTTCTCTATAAACCTCTGAGGCCCACAGGGAACAGATGCTTTTGTATATGGAGTAAATTACACTTACATGGACTCTAGTTACTAATTAGGAAGGTCTAAAATTATTCTGCATTATACTGCATTTATTTAGAGGTATTGAAATAGGTGGTACTTAGGTAGGTGTATTTGTATTACAATTCAGTGCAAAGACAATTCAAAGTGCTTTGCATGAATAGGATAAATGCCCAATTCCACAACTTCCTGAACTTCAGCCAGCTCCTTTGTTTCCTGTCTTACATTACTGGACAGACTAATTATTCCAGGTATGTCTGAACTCTGTAACCATGAAAACACTGACTAAAAACACCTGGATTATTCACTCTGTCCAGTAATGAACGACAGGAAACAAATGTGCTGGCTGAAGTTCAGGAAGTCATGGAGTTAGGCATATAGCCTATTAAACTTAAAATAGAAGGAAAATTAAAGCAAATAAACATTTGCACAACAAATCTAAACTAATTATACCTCAAAGAAAGTTATAAACAAATGGGTTTTTAACTTCGACTGTTAAGAACTAATGCTTTCAGCACTTTTACAGTCTTCTGAAAGTAAGTTCCAGATAAGTGGAGCATACCTGTAGGAACTAAATGCTGCTTCTTCATGTTTGGGTCCACTTCTGGGTGGACAGAATAGGCTGGAACTAGAAGACCTGAGTGGTCTAGGAGGTTGATCCAATAAAAAAATATCTGTTATGTTTTGAGGCGCTGATCCAATCAGTGATTTATAGACTAACAATATGGTTATATAGTCTTTTTCTGAGATACAGGGAACCAGTGGATGGACTTCAGAACCAGGCTGATGTGCTCTAATTTCTTAGTTCTAGTGAGAACACGGGCTGCAGTGTTTTGGATCATATGCAGCTTTCTGATGGACTTTTTAGGCAAACCTATGAAGACACTGGTGCAGTAATCAATTCTACTAAAGATAAATGCATGAAGTTTTTCTATATCCTGCTTGGACATTAGTCCTTTAATCCTGGAGATGTTCTTCCGGTGATAAAAGGCTGACTTCATAGCTGCCTTTATGTCACTTTGAAGGTTCATGTCTGAGTCCATCATGACACCAAGATTTCGGCCATAATCAGTCATTTCTAGCTCTAGTAGCTGAAGCTATGAGCCATCTCTGGATCTCTCCTCCTGTGGTCCAAAAATTATTACCTCAGTTTTGCTTTTAAAATGTTTTCATGTGGGGGAAATTTTGCCCAACCACATATTGACATGTTCCAAGAATCTGGCCAATGCTCTTGGGGTCATATTCACCTGGTGACATTGTGATATAAAGCTGTGTTTCGTATGCATTCATACGTTAACTGATCTTGTTGTTTGCTATATTCTGACCCAAGTGGAGCATGTATGTATTGAATAGGAGGGGCCTTGAGGAACCATGCATGTGATTTTTCTGGTGTCTGATTTAAACTTCCCTGTTGAAACATAAACGTCCTTATCCTTCAACTAGAATTTCAAGTGCTGTACTGGAAAAGCCGACCCAGTTGTCCAGACGCTCTAATAAAATCAAGTGATCAACAGTCTCAAACACTGTACTGAGATCTAATAATCCCTGCAATGTGGTTCTTCCGCAGTCTGAATTTATATGGATGTCATTGAACGCCTTAATCCGGGCAGTTTCAGTACTGTGCTTGACAAGGAATATGGGGGATTTTTCTTGCCAAAAATCAAGAGCACACATATTCAATGTGAGAGCAGGATTTCCTCTGCTTGCATTCAAAACTTCCTTAAGTGTAAGGTTTCCATAACAGAAACCTGAGTTGAAGACAACTGGTCATTGTTAAGAAGGCATTTATCTGTCGAAACATAACCTTTTGGATAAACTTACTGATGAAGGGGAGGTTTGAGATGGGCCTGTAGTTCTGCAGGACCAATTTGTCAAAGCGACTCTTGTCCAGCAGTTGCTAGATAATTGCTGGTTTTACGTCCTGGGGGGAAACACCTGACATAAGGGATGTATTTATTAAATAGATCATATGCAAATTTTTAGGCTGTCATTTGCAAAAATTAAAAAAAAATCATGAGTGACAACATTACATACTTGGAACTATAAGCCCTGCCCCCAACAACTTTTTTTTTTTTTTTCATTAGAAACCCTAATACTCTACCTCCTGTTCTCTCCTCATTTAACATGCACAAGACTAAACATACACCTCGAGCCAATGCATTATCCTCAAAAGGAAAGTGTGAAAAATAAGTAATAATAGCAATATGATACTAAAGAAAATCCTACTAAAATGAGTGGACTTGTTGTTGTTCAGTTACATCTTATAAATCATAATACATTGTTTTAAAATAGTTTTTAATAGTAAATTCAGGTATATTTTCTTAGTTTTTTTAACTATCAGCGTATACCCTTCTACTCATAGTTAAACATATACTTTGTCTCTTTACAGATTAATGACGACCTAACACCCTGTGGATGACAAAATTTCAGCACTGCTGGTCACTGATGCTGAGAACATGGTGAAAGCTCAACAGAGCCAGTTGGTGAAATGTCGGAAGCTCCAGCAGAATAATACGTGCAAGAAAAAGGGAGAAGTTAAACAGAAGGGAAATATAAGAAAAAACAAGCTTAATGACAAACAAAAGCGTGAGATAAAAGGTCCCCAACACAGGAAGAAAACTGGAACAACAGGTAATGGAGATGCATTAGCCTGCTGTGTTCTGCTGACCCGTCTGGATGAGAAAGGAGTCATCTGCAAAGAAAAGAATGCAAAATCCAAGATGCGAAAGAATGCTAAAGTCAAAAAGAAAGAGTGCTCTGTTTCAAAAACTACCAAATCTGGTCCCATGTCAACTTCCACAACCAATCAGCAAACTCCGGAACCAAAAAAAATTCAAGAGAACACCTTACTCATGTTAACTTCCCCTGCTTTGGAGCCTCGCAGGAGAAGAATGGCCTCCCTCAATGCTGAGGCCGTCAATAGTTTGCTGCTTTACAGAGACAGTTCGATTATCACAAATCTCACCAAGAAACTGCAGCCTTTAGGCGAAGATGCAGACAGGGATGTTTCTAAAGCCAAAAATCTTTCTGCAGGAGGGGAAACAGCCAAAAAAAAGAAGCGGGCAAAAGATCAGGTAGAGAGCATTGACTGGTTGACTTTGCTTACACCAACGCCTCGACGTCAGGCAGGCCTCACCGCAGCTACGCTTCTCAAACTCACCAGTGCCCAGTACAAAACCAAACGGCAGAAAAAGACCGAGTCCACGCTGGAGTTGAGAAATGAGCCTACAGAGTCTAGTCAGAATGGCTTAAATACTGACGCAGTGCGTGACGGAACAACACAGACTCAAAAAAGAAGGCAACACACCAAATTAGAAAAGCCTCTTAAGCACAGAAACCAGAGCACAGAATTTCCAGCTCATCCAAAGCTGAGCTCTGCTCCTCAGGGCTGCTGCAGTCTTCATCAGACCGAGTGGGAGAGTACTACAGGGGGCCTGGGCTGCGTAAAGCATGCCTTCCATTGTGGTTCCTCTTTGGGATTCCCCTTAAAAACAATCAAGGAGGAGCAGATGGAGACAGAAGTGACTTCCTGCTTTTGCTGCTCCCAAGAGAGATGTGTTGAGTACTGTCACAGACTGGCCCTCTTCCTGGAGGACAAGACCTTTAAGGAACCAGAGGACAGCTCAAAGTCCGAAGTGTTCCACCACCACCACCATCATCATCATCATCACCACCACCACCATCTCCAAACACCCCATTCTGTAGCCCACCCAGCAGCCATAACCATAAACCCACACACGTACACATGTTACCCGGGCTACTATGTCCATTTCAGCCACCCAGATGGCTCGCCTTCTCCTATACCGCCCCTCACTCTATGTCAGAGGAGCAGCAAGAGGCCGAAGCTGCACCCCAGCACAGGTCTGCAACCCTCAGGGATCAGACATCCAGTTTACTGCTGCACTTCAGTGGAGCCCTGCAGAATCAACAGCTACTCTTATTCTAGTGTCATTCCTGCCATCTCCAGAGAAGGCTGCCCCCTCAGCCCCAAAGACTGCACCAAATGTCACCAAGGCATCAAAAGAGGTGAGCAAATATCAGCATGTTAATGGGTGTCTTCATTTGACCCATTGGCACCATGTAAGGGGCTGTTTTTTAACAAAAGGTAATCAACTTTTTACCCCCTGAGGGTACAAATTCCAATCAATGATTTGAATCAATTGTTTAAAGGAGTTAGCTACAGGTTTAAAATTTCCCATTAGGTAGGTACTGGCCAGTTGGATTCCAGATACGCAGCATGCCAAACCTTAGCATTAGATGTTCAAAAGAAAAGTGGCAACCTCTGTGCTTCATTGGGCTTCTGAGCTCCTTTCCTTCCTTATAGTAAAACTCAGTTCACTCCTGTCTTCCTTCTGCTCACATATGGTGTTTTAAAAAATGTTCCCAGGAAGGTGTAACCTAAGGAACGCAGAATGTGTGGGGTGTAAAGAAAGATGAGACATAGCTCTTTTTGTCCGATTTTAATGCATTTTTCATATTTTTTTTCTTCTCTTCGATATTTTTGCCCTGATATCTCTCAGTTAATGTGATCTACTAACAAAAACTACAAAAATCATTACACTAGACTTTGCAAATGATGCAGATTTCCTTTCATAAAATGCTGATGCATTTACTATCTACTATACTATTTACTATGTATTTACATATACATAAGCCCTATAATGAGATACCTCATGATTAGGGTTTAGCTACTAATTTTAACTATTGTCTGTTCATAAGCAAACCACCATATATGGGAGGAGAGAGTCAGCAGAAAGCATGTGCCTAGCTGCTGATTTCAGTTCCTCCGTAATGGAGTCACATCTACAGCTAATCCACCAGCAAAAATTGGATGTAGTAACTCCATTTTAACCTGAGCAGGGCAAGCAGGTGGTTTTAGCTGCAAAAAGGAGATTTCAACAACTTGTTCAAAATAATGCCCTAGACATGTAGATGACACTATGAGAAATCTATTTACAGTTTGACAGCAAAAAAAAAAATAATAATAATAATAATAAAATAAGTTGAATTAGGGTAGAGTATTCCTTAAAGTTGGCACCAAAGCCCAAACGCTTAAAAAAGAAGCAATTTCCCAGCTTAATCACTAAGCTACTAGGATATGGCATTGTCAGGGCTCCCTGTTATGTGACTTCACCCTACTATTTCTATTGGTGCAGAATCCTTTCTTTTTAACGTTTTTCCATTGTATCCAAAAGTGTTAATTCATATATTTTAGTGACTTTCATTCAAAGAGAAACAGTAAAACAAAAACAAAAAAATCAAACTCTATTTTTTAGTATTCCAAAAAGCAATCAGCAATCCATTCAACATATTTCTGTGTTTACAAAAATGTAGTGCTGTAACACATGTGTAATGATCTATATATATAATTCAATTCAATTCAGTTTATTTATATAGCGCCAAATTCACAACACATGTCATCTCAAGGCACTTTACAGTTCAACCAGATCATACAGTCAAATTGATACAAAGTTTTCTATCTAAGGAAAACCAGTTGATTGCATTGACTCATTGACTCAAATACAATCCCCCACACTAAGCATGCTTGTAGCGACAGTGGAGAGGAAAAACTCCCTTTTAACAGGAAGAAACCTCCAGCAGAACCAGGCTCAGTGTGAGCGGCCATCTGCCGAGGCCGACTGGGGTTCAAGGAGACAGAAGCAGAGATACAAAAAGCAGCTGTAAAAGGCGGCCCCGTCCAGGAAACACACAGCCAGGCAGACGAGCTGCCTGGCTGTGAGAAGGAAATTCTAGAAACCTCTTTGCTATGGGATTTAAATGACAGGTCCTGATCAAAAATAACACCAAGATTTTTTACTTTATTATCTGAAATCAGTTTAATCCCATCCAAATGAAGTGACTGGCTAATCAGTTTCTTTTTCAGAGACTCTGGTCCAAAGACTATAACTTCTGTTTTGTCTGCATTCAGAAGCAGAAAGTTAAGAGTCATCCAGGTTTTTATGTCTTCAAGACATGCCTGTAATCTATGTAATGGGTTAGCTTCATCTGGATTTATAGACAGATATAGCTGGGTATCATCAGCATAACAGTGGAAATTAATCCCATGCTGTCTAATAATTCTACCAATTGGGAGCATGTATAAAGTAAAGAGAATTGGTCCTAGCACTGATCCCTGTGGTACTCCACAGGTAACCTTTAAGCGTGTTGAAGATCTATCATTAACATGAACAAACTGAATTCGATCAGATAGATAAGATTTAAACCAGTCTAGTGCTGTTCCTTTAATTCCAACAAAATATTCAAGTCTTTCTAAAAGAATATTATGGTCAACTGTATCAAATGCAGCACTAAGATCCAACAGGACGAGCACAGATACAAGTCCATTATCTGAGGCCATGAGAATATCATTAGTGACTTTCACCAGAGCTGTTTCAGTGCTATGATGAGCTCTAAAGCCAGACTGAAACTCTTCAAAAAGTTCATTATGGTGGAAGTGATCGCAAACTTGTTTGGCAACTACTTTCTCAAGAATTTTGGATAAGAAAGGAAGATTGGATATAGGTCTATAATTGACCAAGTCATCTGGGTCAAGAGACGGTTTCTTAAGCAGAGGTTTAATTACAGCAATCTTAAAAGCTTTAGGTACATATCCCTGTAACAGAGATAGATTAATCACATCTAAAATGGAGGAGGAGATCAAAGGGAATACCTCCTTAAATAACCTGGTTGGAACTGGATCTAACATACAAGTTGAAGGCTTAGATGAAGACAATAATTTTGCTAATTCAGAGAGTTCAACTGGATCAAAGCAGTCTAAACCCGGTTCAGATTCCATGACTACCTCAGGTACAATCGCGGATAGAGGAGTGCTTATGATCTTATTTTTAATAAGATCAATCTTATTTATAAAGAATCCCATAAAATCATTGCTGCTAAGAGCAGGTGGAATGGACGGTTCAACAGAGCTATGGCTCTGGGTGAGTTTGGCAACTGTATTAAAAAGAAATCTAGGATTATTCTTATTCTCCTCTATTAATGAGGAGAAGTATGCTGCTCTTGCTTTACAAAGGGTCCTCTTATACAGCAGTAAACCATTTTTCCAGACTAGGAAGGACTCTCGCAGGCCTGTGGAGCGATATTTTCTCTCCAGTTTCCTAGCATTTTGCTTCAAAGTACGCAGCTCTGCATTAAACCAAGGAGCAAGCTTTCTATTTTTAACGGTTTTCATTTTCAAAGGAGCTGCGTTGTCTAAGGCAATACGCAGAGAACTAGCAACCCCATCAACAAAATCATCAACCTGTGAAGGGGAATAAGCTAAGCTTTTGCACTCTGCAGCACTGCTCAGTGACACAGAGCAGAGAGAAAGTGAAGCAGATTCTTTAAAATTTATAACTGCACTATCTGATAAAGATCTACTAAAATTGAACCTTCTTTTGGGGGAGGAGAACTCTGTTAAAGTAATCCTGAAGGTTATTAGAAAGTGGTCAGAGAGGACAGGGTTGTGAGGAAATACTGTTATTTCTTCACATTCTATGCCGTATGTCAGCACAAGATCCAAAGTATGAAGATGAGAATGCGTGGGACTATTCACATTTTGAACAAAGCCAATAGTGTCTAAGATAGCATTAAAGGCTGCTCTTAAGCTATCGCCTTCAATGTCAGCATGGATGTTAAAATCTCCCACTATGATGACCCTGTCAGTATTTAATACCAAATCAGAAAGGAACTCTGAAAACTCATCTAAAAATTCAGAGTAAGGACCTGGTGGACGATACAAAGTTACAAAAAGAAGAGGTTTTCTTGCCTTGAAATTTGGATCAGGGAAATTAAGGGTTAAATGTTCAAAAGAGTTGTAGGAATTAATTGTTTTGGGAGTAATCAGTAAGTCAGACTGGAAGATTGTTGCTACTCCTCCTCCTCGCCCAGAACTTCTGGGGATGTGAAAATTTAAATAGCTTGAAGGAGTTGCCTCATTTATGCTCACATAATCCTCTTGCTGCAGCCAGGTTTCTGTAAGGCAAAACAAGTCAATGTGATTATCACAAATCAAGTCATTAACTAGTAGACTTTTAGAGGAAAGCGATCTTATGTTAAACAGACCGCATTTAATTGTTTTAACTTTTTCCCCAATTGGAGTTATTTTGATTTTAATTAGATTATCATGATTTACTCCTTTGGGAATCTTTGCTAATTTATTAGATTTTGGTCGTGGGCAAGACACTGTCTGGATGGAGTAAAGAGTGGGTAACAGTAGAGAAGCTGCAGAGATGTGTGTTAAACTACAACTCTATATAGTGATGCATTGGTATTTTAATAATAAAACTCTTTTTTTTTCATCAGAAAGTCTATTAAAATAACTAATCTGCTCTATTAAAATTGAAAAATGGTCAATTGTAATTAATAGATTTTTTTTAGTTTTTATGATTAAAGGACAGTTTTCCTTTGTTAGTTATTTCCTATTATTACTTGATAAAGTCAGTCTGGATTAACTTTACGAAGAAGAAGTGTAACAGTGAGTGTTGCATGTACTCAAGAAGCTATTTAACTAATCTAGTCAGTTAAAAACATTTTCCCATCAAATCGGGATTGTATTTGGGCTCGGATGTTAGCGGCAGGGTTACGTTGAAAGCATTTCCTGTTTGGGTTCTTCAGCCAGTGTGCTAAGAACAGCTTTCTTATCTGACTTTTTTTTTTCATTATTGAATGTCCGTCAACGTGGAAGTTGGTAAGGAAAAAAAAAAAAACAGGACCTCTTTTGTCTGGGATTGAATGCATCTGGCCGCAGACCGTACACAACCTAATGAGCCCACTGTGTGAGCTCAAGTGTCAGCAGTTAGTGCTGCATTGGAGAAACAAACGAGAGTCGAGACAGGAAAACACCAGCAGTGGATGCGTACGTGAATGCTTGTGTGTTTTTAAAGCACCTGAAGTGGCCTAAAAAAAGAAAAAAGGCTCATTTCCTATTGTCACACATGCTGTTTGTCACTTTCTGTAGTCTGCAGAAGGCTCAGTGTGAGAAAGCTCACGTGGTTGACTACCACAGGGCTGACTTTTATCTCAGTGGAAATCTTTAGCCCTGTTCTCATGAGATATTTAAACCCTGAAAGAACAGGTGTGAGTAATAATAAAGTTAATGATGCATGAGTTTAATGCAACAGCTTTCCATGACATTGGCTGTGTTGGCTTACTGTCACACTGGCTTGGCTCCCTGGGACAAGGAAATAGAAAATGAGCCATTATTAATGTCATTAGTAACACCTTTTCTATTCATACTCTGACAAGCCTGCTGTGAAAATGGCTGGAGGTCCACCCACACAGTGGTGTCATTTTCCTGCCTTAATGCACCTCTGGTTATAACTTTCTGGGATATATATTATTTCTATACATTCTGGTCCACTTGCTTCCTCTCTAACTTTTCTCTCAGTTTTGTGCTGCCTATGTACGGCAGTCGGGTCATTTGTGATTCTGCAGCAGCCTGTCCTCGTCAGGGATTCGATTTCTATTATTTATTTATTTTTGTCTTTCCATCGGTATGTAAATCTTTCTACTACAAGATTAAAACTATAACTGAAATTAATATAAACCAAAATTGAAGGAAGCTTTTTTATAAAGAAATAAAAACTAAAGTATACATCACAGTATGATAAATTCAAATAAACTAAATAAAAATTGAAAATCAGAATAAATTTCCCAACTTTTTAAACACTGCTACATACACTCACCGGCCACTTTATTAGGTACCCCATGCTAGTAACGGGTTGGACCCCCTTTTGCCTTCAGAACTGCCTCAATTCTTCGTGGCATAGATTCAACAAGGTGCTGGAAGCATTCCTCAGGGAGTTGGTCCATATTGACATGATGGCATCACACAGTTGTCGCAGATTTGTCGGCAGCACATCCATGATGCGAATCTCCCGTTCCACCACATCCCAAAGATGCTCTATTGGATTGAGATCTGGTGACTGTGGGGGCCATTTCAGTACAGTGAACTCATTGTCATGTTCAAGAAACCAGTCTGAGATGATCCCAGCTTTATGACATGGCGCATTATCCTGCTGAAAGTAGCCATCAGAAGTTGGGTACATTGTGGTCATAAAGGGATGGACATGGTCAGCAACAATACTCAGGTAGGCTGTGGCGTTGCAACGATGCTCAATTGGTACCAAGGGGCCCAAAGAGTGCCAAGAAAATATTCCCCACACCATGACACCACCACCACCAGCCTGAACCGTTGATACAAGGCAGGATGGATCAATGCTTTCATGTTGTAGACGCCAAATTCTGACCCTACCATCCGAATGTCGCAGCAGAAATCGAGACTCATCAGACCAGGCAACGTTTTTCCAATCTTCTATTGTCCAATTTCGATGAGCTTGTGCAAATTGTAGCCTCAGTTTCCTGTTCTTTGCTGAAAGGAGTGGCACCCGGTGTGGTCTTGTGCTGCTGTAGCCCATCTGCCTCAAAGTTCGTCGTACTGTCCGTTCAGAGATGCTCTTCTGCCCACCTTGGTTGTAACGGGTGGTTATTTGAGTAACTGTTGCCCTTCTATCAGCTCAAACCAGTCTGGCCACTCTCCTCTGACCTCTGGCATCAACAAGGCATTTCCGCCCACAGAACTGCCGCTCACTGGATGTTTTTTCTTTTTCGGACCATTCTCTGTAAACCCTAGAGATGGTTGTGCGTGAAAATCCCAGTAGATCAGCAGTTTCTGAAATACTCAGACCAGCCCTTCTGGCACCAACAATCATGCAACGTTCAAAGTCACTCAAATCACCTTTCTTCCCCATACTGATGCTCAGTTTGAACTGCAGGAGATTGTCTTGACCATGTCTACATGCCTAAATGCACTGAGTTGCCGCCATGTGATTGGCTGCTTAGAAATTAAGTGTTAACGAGCAGTTGGACAGGTTTACCTAATAAAGTGACCGGTGAGTGTATATGGCATTATGTTAAGAAATGTTTCATGACTTTAAAGTGGATAATCTGGTATTTTATATTTATGTGATACTTTTGACATCTTTCAATTCATGTATAATCATTTTTGGGGGAAATTGTTTCCAGATAGAGTTTGTACAGATGCCATTTTTATAAATCTTACTTTAGGATCCTCTTTGTTTATTATCCTGCTATAACCTGTCATCTCTACATATTTCTGTTAATCTGAACGGCAGGTTTTTTTTATTGCTGCTGTTTGTAATAATCGGTAAACACTTTCAAATGTCTCACCTTTTCTGCTCCTTTTACAGAAGAATACTCACCGAGCCTCAGTGATCACCACAGTCCGCCCTCCGTCCCCATTTGTCCCAGCCCCAGAGTCCTGACTGGCTGCCCCATTCCCACTGTGCCTCCAGCCGGCCAATCAGTGCCCCACGTTCAGACTCCGCTGTCAGACCCCAGCCAACCCCAGCCCCCTCTGCAGGTGGCGAAGGAGTGTCCACAGAGTGCCAAGCCGCCAAGTGGCTCCAGATCTGGAGCCCGCGGGGGCCGGGCCGGCTCTCCTCTCAGCCGGGTCAAGAACCAGAGGCTCAACTCAGTCTCTGCCGGAGGGCAAACTGTTCCCAAACAGCCCAAGAACAGCCGGCAAAAATCCACCAACGGCTGGAGATCTCTGGGCCTGCCCTTTGAGAAGGAGGTTTTTGTTGTTGTAAGTAGAAAAAGTCATGCAGCTATGCAGTAGCTTTGAGCCCAATATTATTCAGACTCCCTGCAGATTGAACTTATTTTTATCTAACAGAGAAGATTCTTTCTGATGGGTCAAGCAAATACAGAAAAATTAAAAGATTTTTTTAATTAAACCTGTAAGGGGTATGAATACATCTGATCTTATCTGTCTTGTATCTCATGACAAAATCCCCTTAAGGAGAATTTGTTTCTGATCACATATTTTTAGAGAAGCAAGGAGGATGTTTTTGTTTATTTTCTAAAGATATAATTTATTTCTGTCAAAGAAAATAGAAAACACAAAAATAAGAACGTTTATTTCCTGGTTTTCATTGTAAAGGTCAGGAGTAAAAATATCACTAATTTATTATCAAGTATCAATCGAACAGAATGCACACCTGTGCATCCATGCCTTTTATTTCTGCTAAACTTATTGGTTTGTTTTTATTCTTCAGCTGAACATATGTCACAGTTAATGTTGAAAACGCTCTGATATAGTTGATGTGTTACTTTTTATTTCACAACAATTTGGTATTTTGTTTTCTTTTTATTCCCATTATGTAAGTCTCCATTTTTAAGGTTTACCAATCCTAGATTTTTGAATGATAACAGAAGTTTAATTATGTTATGATAGAAAGACAACCTTTAAAAAACTGAAGCTGATTGTAATAGCATGGACAGGTCTAAAAAACATTTATTTTTTTTATTTATTTTTTTACCATAATCACCACTTCATGTGTGTGAAAAGGTAGTTTAAGTGTGTTTAGTCACATCAGCCATGATGGTTGGTTTAAATAAAGCAGGATCTGTTTAACCTCATGTGAAGAGTTGATGAGTCATGAAATCTGTTTCCTTGGCCAGAGAGGTCACTGAGGCTCCAAAATAATACTGTAGAACAACAACAATCTGTGCAGCTTCCTCTACAAATCCCCTCAGTGTCGGTATTTATGCTCATATTATGCCAACCTCATCTCCAGGGAGAGGAGACCCCGGTGCTGAGGAAGTGTTTTGAGGGAATCTGCAGAGATGGGGACGTGATTCGCGTCAGAGACACGGTTCTGCTGAAGTCTGGGCCCAGAAAGAAGACCCTGCCATACGTTGCGAAGGTGTCTGCCCTGTGGGAGGAGCCAGAGTCAGGTACATCATGATCGCACACAGTGTTGTATAGTAACGAAGTAAAAATACTTCACTACTGTACTTAAGTATATTTTGGAGTACTCTTTACTTTCCAAGAGTATACATGTTTTTTGAGAACTTTCACTTTTACTTCACTACATTTACGACTTAATTGCATACTTTTACTTTTACTAAGTAAAAATAATAAAATAAAATAAAAAATTAGCGAGAGAGCAAGAGCAAGTGTTTTGACCCCACCTACTGACTACAAAGTCGGGTCTTGCCTGGGCTTGTTCATCAACACCAATAGGATACGCCTGTTTCGCAAAGCCCGTCTAAATGTATCCTACACTTTGTTGTTTATATCATTTTAAGGGAATTTAACCTTCAAAGTTTACCAAAATGTAAAAAAATGTAATTCAAACTGCACTACTTTTTACTTATACTTAACTTTTTACTTATACTTTTCACTACATTACTTGAGTACATCTATTTTTACTGTAATTCTTATACTTAAGTACAAGCCATTTCAGATACTTTAAGACTTTTACTCAAGTAACATTTCAGTCAGTGACTTGGACTTTTACCAAAGTCATATTTTGGAGAGGTACTTATACTTTTACTTGACTCCAAGATTTCAGTACTTTATACAACACTGATCACACAAATAAAGGAAGCTCAACCGATTCTTGGATAACTTGGATAACTCTGTGGATGTGTTTTTTTTTCCTTCAGAAGAGCTGATGATGAGTTTGTTTTGGTATTACCGCCCAGAACACACCCAGGGAGGACGCAACCCCGCCATGCATTGTGAGGTAAGAGTTTTTTTATTTACTGCTTCCGATGACAATGAATAAAGCATCACAGCTTAGCATTGCAGAGCTTAATAAAGATGACAACAACAAAAAATTGTAAGACAAACATGTTAAATGTAACATTTTTTAAAGGACTGGTTTTGATTTTGGTTCTGATTGTGCGTCTCTCTGCAGAATGAGATATTTGCATCCCGTCATCAGGATGTCAACAGTGTGGCCTGTATTGAAGACAAATGCTATGTCCTAACATTGGCACAGTATTGTCGGTAAGGAAGGCCTTTCTGTGTTTAGTATGATTCTCTATTTTTGACTGCTTTCTTACAGATTAAAGTAACATTCTGAGTAGCACTTTGCATCAAATCCAAGCTGGATCTTTGATTTTTCTCTGTTTTCACACCAGAGGAACTAATTTCTGTTTCCATTTTGGTTGTGTGCAGATTTTGTGCCTTGGTGAAGCGCCGGAGGGAGGGTGTACGAGACAGCGCCGCCGCCCTCATGGTGCCCCCCGTTCTTAGCAACGCCATGCCCACTCACCACTGTGTGCCCGATGATGTCGACCCAGAGCTGGTACTGTTCTGTCGACACGTCTACGACTTCCGCTACGGACGCCTCCTGAAGAACCTGCAGTAGTGTTTGACACTTTGAGATGCAGGAGAGTGGATCGCATCACCTCACCATCATCCTCCATGAGTTTTAATCGACTACTTGTGGCTTGGTCGGAAGAATTTAATTAGCTTTGAACTGTTTATGTTTAAACACCACGCTTTTGTTTAGCAGGCTTCTGACATCATGCATCAGAGTTATATGACAGTGTGGATGGCCTGTTGGGATGTAGCAGCTGTTGGAAGAATATTGAGGTTACTCTGCTGTAAAAAAAAAAAAAAAAAAAGCACAAAAAAACGCTACTGTAGCTCTTAGAAATGTGACATTTGACAGATCTGCAGCTGATGTTTTATGTTTTTGCTGCTCTCTGCCTGACAGATATCAGACACGTGAAGTGCTTCGATGGACTGCTCATAGCTAAAGGAAAACCTAGGAGCTTATCGTAGTTAATGTAAGAAGTGGCTGAGGATTTTATCTTATCGAGTTTCCCTCTAATTTGAATATGTTAAATATCCCATCTCTGCATCCAGTCCTGGGATGCATTTTACTGTTTTAAGAGAGTTTTCTCAAATCTCTGCTTTGAATAACAGCTAGTAATTGAGCTAGGAACTGCTTAGGGCCAACTTGCGATGTAAAAACGAGATTGAATCGCTGCTGTAAAGAGAAATGCACTCGCTGTAGTCAGATGGCATAGCAGAGTTGTTAGTTTCAGCTTGGGTTACATCCACAATAACAGTTTCATTTTAAATACATCAGAACGTTTCTGTTTTAGCGCCTCCCAACCTTCACAAACATCGCTGTGGGTGAAGATTGTTGACATGAACCTAGTGAGAAAAAATTGGATGAGAAGGTCTTTTAAAAGTCACAACAGAGATGATCAGCAGAAAATCAGTTGGTGGTTTTAACCATCATGGCAAATTTATATATAAAAAAAAACTATAAGCTTTAATTACTTAAAAAGTGTCCACTAGTAATTGATTTCCCAGTGTAGAAATATATTAAGAAACCAACAATTTCTTACTAATGTGTCCATCAGTTAACTCTTCTATTAACAGACAGTGTAAAGGTCCAGCTCTTCTGTAAGGAAAAAAAAAACAAGCCCTTCTTAATTACCACTTTTACAGATAAAAAGAGATGACTTTTTATAATTTTTAATCCATTAACATTTTGTTTTGATCCAGTTTTGATTCAAATCAATAGTAGGAATTCAAACGATGAAGTATCTGCTTAAATCTATTAAACTCTATATTTAAAATGTAATTATGTCAATCGCAGCTTTATTAGAATAGATCTATGATTATTCATCAGACCTTTTGCTTCAGATTGAATCTATTTAAACATAAAAAATATCTCCCCTACCCCTGCAGTAAATGAAGTAGCAATTATCAGTACCCCCTCACTGGGTGCAAAGGACGGCTTGGGTGTAGCAAATATGTAGGTTATAATATTTGAAAGAGTTTATATTAGATATTGGCTACTGAAAAAATGTGTATTACTACATGGATATACTTCTGCTTTTATCACAGTATGTCCACGTAAGTTATAGAAAGACAGATCAAGATCGAAAAGCTCTGGAACATTGTGGTTATAGACAGCAGTCTAGTTGTGAAAAAAAAGGGGGATAGTTGAATTTTTTTTTTTTTTTGGAAGCATACATAACCTAATTAATATATCTTAACCTAAAGCTATATGCAAGGCAAGGAAAAGATATTTGTATAGCACAATTCAGTACAAAGACAATGCAAAGTCCTTTACATGATTAGAAAATAGGAAAATAAAAAAGAATCAAAGCAAGTAGAGAAATGAATAAATAAATAAATAATAGAAAATGCAGAAACAAGAAAGAACATTAAAAACAGTTGGACTAAAGGAAATAAAGAAGTTGAACCAATTATGTTCCAGTTGAACTTTTTAACTAGAACAGTTAACTAGGCAATCCTATACAAATGTGTTTTAGTCTTGATTTAAAGGAACCCAGGCTTTCTGTACTTTTACAGTTTTCTGGAAGTTTGTTCCAGATAAGTGGAGCATAGGAACTAAATGCTGCTTCTCCATGTTTAGTTCTGGTTCTAGGTATGGAGAGCAGGCTGGAGCCAGAAGACCTGAGTGGTCTGGAGGGTTGATATACTGATAGCAAGTCTGTGATGTATTTAGGTGCTAAGCCATTCAGAGATTTATAGACAAACAGAAGTATTTTAAAGTCTATTCTCTGAGATACAGGGAGCCAGTGTAAGAACTTTAGAACTGGGGTGATGTGCTCTACTTTCTTAGTCTTAGTGAGGACACGGGCAGCATTGTTCTGGATCAGCTGCAGCTGTCTGATCCACTTTTTAGGCAGACCTGTGAAAACACTGTTGCAGTAATAGATTCGACCAAAAATAAACGCATGGATTAGTTTTTCCAGATCATGCTGAGACATTAGTCCTTTAATCCTGGAAATGTTCTTTAGGTGATAGAAAGCCGACCTTGTAATTGTCTTTAAATGCTTTTGGAGGTTCAAGTCTGAATCCAGCACTACACCTAAATTTCGGGCCTGATCAGTGGTTACTAACTGAAGCGACTGACGCTGTGTGCTAACTTTAGATCTCCTCTATTTGTCCAAAGATAATTCAGTTTTGTTTTTATTCAGTTGAAGAAAATTTTGGCACATCCAGGCATTGATTTCTTCTAAGCACTTCCTCAATGCTTGAACTGGTTTATAATCACCTATGCATGGTAGGTTTGTTACCTGTCAGATACGCCGTTCATTGACCTTACAGTCCCTGGACTGGCATGGCTATCACTGCCCCTACATAATTAGGGAGAAATGCAGAGGACAGTTTTCCCACTGGGATCAGCTTCATAGTCATGGTAGGCCACTTCTTTCATTTTATTTATTTTGCTCAGGGTACTCATAAGCCCAGAGCTTAAGAGCCAAATACTGTTAATATGTAGTAGAAATTTTACTGATTCAGTAATAAAATGTCACAGGGGATGGTATGGGGTGGATGGTGATTTAAGAAGGGGGTGATTTTTAAGATTTTTTTAAGAAGGGGGATGCCCCCCCCCCCCCCCCCAGCTCCAGTACTGGTTGTAGATAAAAGAAGGAAAGACTTGATGAGTCCAATAAATCTTTTTTTTTTTTCAGTTCAATTTAGATTTATTTGTATATCCTCAGTTCATAATACATATCATCTTAAGGCACTTTACATTTACAATTAGGAAACCCAGCTAATTGCTTCCAGTCATTGACTTTGCAGGATGCTGTCTTCCTAGATTAGCAGATGGCAACAGTAGTATTCACCTTGTGGGAGCTGATCAATATTAAATGAGCAACAGCAATATTACAGTTTAATGTTTATATGATATTGTGCAACTCCTGAATGAATCAGAATTATATTAGAGTGATTTTGATGGCTGCATTAAGTCTAGACATTGATGGATGCAGGACTATTCGATTAAATGGGGGTAGAAAAATATTTCCAGATAACCACAGTAGAAAGAATTCACACTTCATTCCAATCAGTCAAAAAAAAAAAGAGAAAAAAATGACATTCCTTTGAACCTAAAGATTTTTAGCTTAAGTTTACTTAATGTCATTAATTAGCAGATTAGAGAGTTTTGGTTTACAAAGTTTTGATCAAACAACTTTTAATAACTTCACCTCATTTTCAGCCACCCTGTGAATAATGCGGTTTTGCCCTTTTCCCATTTACTAATCAAAAATGAGCCTGTTATTGTTTTTCATTAGGAAGCTGTTGCTGTGGATGTAGCCTAAAGCTGACTGAAAGGTGAACATCCGGGTTTTGTGCTGCACACAACATTTAACCAATATATCTAAAGTGGAAATGCAGCACAGGATGAATTGTGAACGTTTTTTGATCCTGTCATGAGTTTTTTTTTTTCCTTTTTTTTTTGTATGTAATATTTGCTTCCCGGAGGTAAAATCTGTGCTCACAGCTTGAAGGTGGCTATCATTCTGCCATTTCTGACTAATACTTAGCCTCCTCAAAGTGCTCGTTTAGCCATGTTCCTTTGCTCTGGTGACTAATATATTCGCTGTAGCATTTAGATCTGTGATGAAGACATATTTGTATGTTGGAGAAAAGATGTGTATTTATTTCTGTTTGGCAGAAATCTAATTTATTTTAGACACAGAAATTTAAAAGGTAGAGTTCCATTCCTGCTTAATCCTCTCCTCTCTCTCATCGCCTATTGTCTGAAATATAAGGAACGACAATATGAGTCATTCACAGGAGCTTTGCTGTGTTTAGGTTGCAATATAAGCCTGTAAAGATTTTGTGCTGAAATGCTAAAGTCAGGACCAAAAGGCCCCTCGGCTTCTTTCCATTTTCAGTCTGTCATCTTTTAGTATCTTGGACAAAATGCTTGGCCTCTTAGGATGATTATAAAGCCACCCTTTCATTTGTTTGTGCCCTTGAGCACGCTGCCTTAATTCCCAGGCTTTTATTAAGAAACATCAGCTTACCCTCACCTGGTTTACAAAGTGTCTGCTCCCAATTGAGTGTTTTGTTGATCCATGGCACAATTATCGATTTTAAAAAATTATTCAAACTCTTTCCAATGTTCTTTTTTTTTTTTTTTTGCAATTGCAATACTCAAAAAGTAGAGAAATACTGTACTTCACCTCAGTATTTATACACATTCACCTTCCTGATATCTCATCACAAAAAAATAAAAAATTTTATTTAGATTTTATTATAAAACAACACAAAGTAGGGCATATTTTTTTTTAAACTTGAAGGAAAAGGATGCATGAGTCTTGAAATGTTTTAAACATAAAGATTTAAAGTAGTAGCCCTACAGTCGATATCTTATAGAAATACCTTTCGTTGCAGTGACGTCTCCATCTACAGATGAATACAGCTTAACCTCAGTCAAACTGTTGTAGAGCGTCTGTAAACGAGTATTTTCTAGGCTTTCAACATGTCCTTACATCAATCTGGTTCTTGACTTTGACTAGGCCCTTCTTTTTCTATGATCAAGCTATTCTCACAGAAATATTTTCGGATTTATTTAACTGTTTTAGTGCAGCTCTGCTTTTATGTTTAGAGTTTTTGTTGTGATGGAAGGAGAACCTCAGCCTTGAGTCTTTTGCAGCCTTTAACCAAGGCTCTCACTGACTAACCTGTAGCTGCTGTGTGGCGCTTTCCTTCTGCATCACGAGCCATTCTGTCTCATCACTATGACACCACCATGAAATTAGCAGTTAAAATGTGACAAATGCAGGAAGGCTGAATATGTGTTAGAGCAGTTCTGTACTATATTGAGAACCGAGGTCTTTGGTTAAATATATTATTGATTGCACGTTCCATACTTGTTGCATACATTTTTTAAATGTATTCATCCTGTTAATGTGTCACCTTTAAGAAAGTCTTATTTCTAGATTGATCATAACACATCATAGTTGTTTACTATCATAATATAAATTCGGAAATCGGTCATATTTAGTAAATGGGGTCAAATTTGCAAAAAAAACCAACAACAAATAAGACAATCCTTTAACTGTGAAATCAAATTGAGTAAGTTTATAGCATAAATGATATATACCTTTTTCAATTCCATGCAAACCAATTAAGTTATTTTTACTTAATTTATTCAGTAAGATGTGTTCTATTAAAAGAAGATGAAACGTCAGTAGATTAACTGCAGCATATAACTCTTTTAGCTTCTTCTTACACAAGTACAGTTTGTTTTTTCTCAGAAATAAGTTATTAACAATCAATACTGAGGTGGTCTCTTATATTTAACTTGCTTTTTTTCCAAATACACAATTTGAAGACGATGCAAGAATCATTGATCTTTCATATTTCATTTTTCATTTGCTGTAAATTTTCTGTTTATATTACATCCACTATAACTGAGCTCAGCTCTTGCAAATGCATATTGTGTCTGGAGCCAGTGGTTGCAAAGCCAACATGGTAAAGCAACACTAAGCAGGCCACAAATCATGCAGGCAAATTCTAATCACTCTGATCATCAGTAGCATGGAAG